AACACCTTGGTTCGATAGCTTTGAAAGGTTTACTTGAAGACAACTTGGATTTTGACGAGAAGGAGCTTAGAGAACATAAAGCAAGCGATTTACCTGGATTTGGATTTCTGTCAGTTCAGTCTGGAGGCAGTAAACTAAGACCAACTAGACGTTATAGCTTTCTTCACAAGACTTTCCAAGAATTCTTCGCAGCCTTCTATCTCAGTTGTCAGCTTATCAAGAAAGAAATCACAACGAACAGCATAGCTGCTAACAGAAAATATTGCCATGAGCTGAAAGAAGTGCTTCTGTTTGCATTTGGTATGCTAGCAGGACGATGCGAGGAAACAGTGGTGAACCTTCTGAAAAGCATAGCAACACAGTTAACCCAGGAAGAAGAGGAAGAAGAGGAAGACGTGGACTTTATATTAGAGTGTGTTAGTGAATGCAAAAAGGAGAACAAAAATGTTGATGAAAAATTGGTTACCGCTCTTGGCGCTTCTCTTCAAACTAAAACTATTTTAGTTTCAAGAGTAAAAGTGGATGAAACTCTAGCTGTCTTTTTAAGCAACTTTCTGAAATCAAATGAAACTGTGACAGAGTTCGTATTGTATGGCTTGTCGCAAGATGGGGCTTCCGCTCTGGCAGAGTGTTTGAAATATAACAAATCGCTGAAAATATTGGATTGGAGATCTATTGAAATGGGTGATGATGGTGCTACGGCTCTGGCAGAGTGTTTGAAATATAATACATCGCTGACAGAGTTGAGTTTGGATGAAAATGAAATTGGCTATGATGGTGCTGCTGCTCTGGGTGAGTGTTTGAAATATAATACATCGCTGACAGAGTTGAGTTTGATTGAAAATGAAATTGGCAATGATGGTGCTGCTGCTCTGGCAGAGTGTTTGAAATATAATACATCGCTGAAAGAGTTGCATTTGGATGAAAATGAAATTGGCTATGATGGTGCTGCTGCTCTGGGTGAGTGTTTGAAATATAATACATCGCTGAAAACGTTGTATGTACAGGACATTAAAATTGGTGATGCTGGTGTTGCTGCTCTGGGTGAGTGTTTGAAATATAATACATCGCTGACAGAGTTGAGTTTGGATAAAAATGAAATTGGCTATGATGGTGCTGCTGCTCTGGGTGAGTGTTTGAAATATAATACATCGCTGACAACGTTGTATTTGTGGGACAATAAAATTGGTGATGCTGGTGTTGCTGCTCTGGGTGAGTGTTTGAAATATAATACATCGCTGACAAAGTTGCATTTGGATGAAAATGAAATTGGCTATGATGGTGCTGCTGCTCTGGGTGAGTGTTTGAAATATAATACATCGCTGAAAACGTTGTATGTGTGGAACAATAAAATTGGTGATGCTGGTGCTGCTGCTCTGGGTGAGTGTTTGAAATATAATACATCGCTAAATTGGTTGTTTGGTTGATAATAAAATTGGTGATGATGGTGCTGCTGCTCTGGGTGAGTGTTTGAAATATAATACATCGCTGAAGAAGTTGGATTTGAAGAATAATGAAATTGGCGGTGATGGTGCTGCTGCTCTGGGTGAGTGTTTGAAATATAATACATCGCTGACAACGTTGACTTTGCATGGTAATAAAATTGGTGATGCTGGTGCTGCTGCTCTGGGTGAGTGTTTGAAATATAATACATCGCTGAAATGGTTGCCTTATGACAATAAAATTGGGAATGAGCAGCGACTGTTGCTCTGCGTAAGCTGGAGCGCAGAGCTTCTATTTGTGGATGTCAGTATAGGTACTTGTCAAGACTTATGTAGCATCTGTTTGCAAAGATTATTTATTTTTGTAAGAGCTTCTATAAAAGCTCGCACGTTTATAGTTTGGAGACCGTTACACTTTTTTACAATCTTATATATTCAGCCTTTACTCTGTCACGTTTAATGGATGCAGCTGATAAAAGAAACTATGCTTCATCTGTAACGCGTGTGCGTGTAAACCACGGGATTATCGGCGCGAGGAGAAGTAGGACTGCCTCGGATTTTGTTGTAATTAAAAAATCGGATGCAATTTTTCTTTTGTCTTCAGCAATAGATTCTACTCACTTGCCTCTTTTGCAAGGGACTGCCATTATTGGTTTAAGGTTAGAGTAATTATTATTATTTTTTTTTTAGAGGGCACAGTAACGAATCCTGCAATCTGATTGGTTCTTTACCCGGTCAGTATTTTCCTATCTCTGCCCACGGGCCACGGTAACGCTTTCGTGAATCGCTGAGTACATCCCAAATTTCGTTGCCATTTTTCATAAATATATCTCGTTTTTCCGGCTGGGCAGTGTTTTTAAGCAAACACGCTGGTCACTACCTCAAGCCGATAAATAACTTATGAATCCTCTCTTTTCTCTCTCTCAAATCACTTTGGTTGACAGAAAAATATTGGTTTCAGAATGAATTTGTGTAAGCAATAGTGTCATTACGTTGGTTGACAAGCGGCTTAAAAACCGTCTGTAATTAATTTTAATCGTTCACAAAAAGTACCTAGAAAGATAAAACGTGAGATATTTGGTCACAGTTAAATTGAGCGATGGTTTTTTTTTTATCCATTTAATATCTGAATTTTCTCCAACAATTTGTTCGTAGTGAAAGAGCGAGCGAAGTTTTAAATTCAGTTATACAACAAGTCTTTCCGAGTCCGTTTAGTTTGGACATTTGTACCGTAAATTGCACAACAGAAACTGAAGGAATTTATTGTCAAAAGGCCGCATTTAATCCCCTTGTGTCTTGTTGGAGTGTGCTATTCGAACTTAGTTTTTGTGGAGGAAAGACCAGATTTACACACGTCTTTGTGGCAAACAAACGAGCAAACTCTCACAACTTCAAAATAAAAAAATTGAATTTACTCATAATTACTTTCCTCGCCGTTTACTTAATGAACAGAGGTAAATCTTCGTACATGGACGAATCGTCGATGAGAGTGAATAATACTTTCCGTTAGATCATTGAATGTTTTTGAAGAAGGCATTGTTGTGACAGTCCTTTCTAAACTAGTCTCGTTGTTTTTCAAATATTCTTGCGCTTTTTTTTTTCTTACGCACTCTCTAATTGACAGTTGTCAGATTGTGACAGATACTTGTAAAATCAATGTTTCAAAGTTTGTTTGGAAGCGTTTTAAATCACCTTTATCCTTACGCAAATGAAAATGTTTCGGTGAGGCATCTCTCTTTAATTTGCATCACCTCTATTTTAACTACCATTTACTCTCTCAAAAATTGTTCAGTTTATGGAGGATCTTGCCGCATTTACAGCCCTAAATCATTTGGGTTCTTTCGGAAAGAATTTCGTCAAGTTTAAAAAAAATAAAAACGTTATTTACCGGCTACGGGTCGGACCGTATGGTGAAAACTGTGATCGAGGTCTTACCGTAGGTCTCGGGCAGCATTTTCAAGACCTCGATCACAGTTTTTCACCATACGGACCTCCCAGCCGACAAATAACATATATTTCTTTGGTGATCAGTTACTTGATACTCTTAAGGTGCGACTACTCCAACCAAGGCCATCCCGGAAAATTTTTCGCAAATTAGCGTTCGAGAGATGGAACAATAGATTTCTCACAAAGTACGGGTAAGCAGCACAAGAAAATTCAAAACAACATTTAATTCTTTCATGTCGTACAACGCAACAGCACATTTTTCCAAGAACTTCGATCAAATCAATGTGAATTCGCTAGTTAGTTCCATGTAACGGTAAACAGTTATGCGTAACGATTCACATGCTGTCTACGCTCGGAAGACCTCTCCTGTAACGCTCAATAAGGAACGGCATTTCCCAATCTCGCGAGGTATCAATTGGAATCTTATTGTTGAAAATTTTCTTCAAGAGTATCAAGTCCTTATCTGAAGAAAACCTGTCGACATAACGGCCTTCGTTTTGCCGCCTCAGTCGGGGACGCATAACCGCAAAAAAGCTATTGACTGAGCGTTCCTTGGCAAGCTTGAATGACTGAAGCTCTTCTGATGCTTTAGCTTCTTTCTTCTGCAAATCTTTGATAAGCTTTCGTAGTTCTGTGATCTCAATTTTGCTTTCTGGGTGTTTCTCGCTCGCGCCACAATTGTTCATGTCCATGCAAGTCGGGTTTGAACAGCGAGCTCTGTAGTGGCCCGGCTGATGACATCGGGTGCAAAGTTTTCCCGCTCTCCGTCCGTTAGCTTTGCTCGATGCTTGTTCATACTGATTACGAACAATTTCAAGCTGGTCAGTAGCACTTTTGATCTGTGTTTGTATTATGGAGAGATTTTCCGTTAGTTCGCCGCTTTTCTTCTCAAGATAGGTTGTTGACTGCTCGTTGCTTTCGTTAAGCGCGCTTTGTTGATACATGGTTCCACTTACAGGCACGTTGGATGAGCTCGAAGCCGGGCCTGAGCTGGTCGTTCTGACGAGCACAGGAGAGTTAATGGGGCTAGCGACTTGCAGAGACCCAGTGTAAGGAGATGGAAAAAGTTCCTTAGGCTGTAGAGACGGCTTCTTTATCTCCTCTAGCTCTTTCTCGAGAATTCTTCTCTCTTCCATTAACAACTCGTGTTACAACTCGTGTTATAACTCGTGTTATGTTTTCGCATGCCTCGTAGATCGTGTAGTCTGTTTCTTCCTCTTCTAAACGCTGATTTCGTCGCAGGAACTCTTTGATGTCATGAAAACACAGTTCGCAAGTGTTGAACTCGGGTGAATATGGGGGTTGGAATAACAAGCGTACAACAAAATTTGCTAGCAAAGCAGTAAGAATAGGCTCCACGAAGTGGCCATGGTGGAAGCATCAGTTGTCCATTATTACTGTATCGCCTCTCTCCAGCACAGCCGATCCATCTGCTCTTGTGAGACTTACTGCTTCCTCGCAAAATAACAGGAGCTCATGGCCATTGGACGGACCTTCAAGTACGTTCATAAAGTCTACGCCGAATGGAGAATGCAGCAGATTAATAGTGTATGTAGCACTTGAAGCGTACCGTTGGATTTCGAATGCAGGCTCACCTCTGGGGGCATTTCCTTATTTTCGGTTACTAGTTGTTTTCACAACACTACTCTCGTCAAAACAGCGAACGGTGCCTGGTTCCAAGTCGGATATTGCTTCAAGGAATTCATTTCGACGATGGATATTGTCACTCCTTTGTGATTCTGATGGTATTTGCTGTATTTTCTTTTTTGTCATGTAGAGATCCTCCCTGATACTCTTTGATATGGCAGACTTCGACGGCAGGTCCAGAAGATGAACTACTCCGTCGAGTAACAAACGATCTTGCAGTTCCCTTACGTATACGCTTGGTTTCATAAGTTTCTCCGTTTCAATACAACTGATTACTTCAGCATTCATTATTCTTCTCTCTGGTGGATCTTGGGGATGCTGGAGCGAGGAACCGGTGTGATCGTAGTCGGCAAACACATTCTGGATGAAGCAACGGCTTGTTTTGAGCTCTCTAGCAATTGTTCGCTGTGACATCCCATCATGGTTTAAGTCAAGAACTTCTCGCAAGAGTTTGGGATAATTTCGACCGTTATCATAGAGTTTTCCATCTTGATTCCTGCAAAGCTGCATTTTGAATTAGACTGAAGCTTTCCAATCGTTGAAACGGTAGGTTTTCAAATTGTGACTATTCTATTGTTTCATCTCTCGAAAGCTATTGGTCAATTTGCAAAAAAATTTCCAGGGTGGCCTTGATTCGAGTAGCCGCATTGTAAACTTTACTTATGATAACGTCCTAACACTTTCTGATCTTGTGAGGAGAAATTTGAGGTTGATAACTCTGAGGGTGCAAAGAATTAATTAACTGAGTTGTAGCCATGTTGTATGGTAAGACTCTTTATGATGACCATACGAACCTTTGTTGTAGGCTGTAAAGAACAATTTATTTGTCGAAGTGAACTTTTTTTAGAAAAGTTGTCACAATATAGTTTTGAATTTTGCAAGGGTAAGTTTACTTGAGCGATTAATGTACTTCTTAAGACTTAACTGATATAAATAAAGGTATTTTCAGTACAATTTCAGTTTTTTTCCACTATTTTTTCTTAATGTGTTAAATTTTTTTTGCATTCTTCCTGAAAGTCCGTTTGCTTACGATGCTCCTTAGCCTGCTGTTTCCTTTGTTCAATTCCATTTTTTGCTTGATGTCTTTTGTAAACTGACCCATGGTTCGATACATTTTGGACGTTTTAGAAATTGGGTTTTACTCTGCTTACAAAGAAAAACTATGTGAAAGAGTGACTTGTCTTGCTAACTAAAATCAAAGAATACCTATGGCCAACTCGTGCATAGAGTTCTTCATCTAGAGAAGAAACATAGTCGTGAACCTGTAATTATATTTCTTGTAGCAATTCAAGGTTACTTCTATCTCAAAAGCCGGGGTATTCCGGAAAGTCACAGAGAGATCCAGCATTATGGTAACCATCCAACTCTGTGAGAAATAGACGTATATAGTCTCCAAAAACAGCACAAAATAGTATCCTGCGTTTATCGAATTTCCGTTTGCAAAATTTGTCAAATTTAGACGCTGCAATCCAAGTCTTTCTTCGCCTGCACGAGCCAAATTTTACTCTTGTCCATTCGTATGTCACGTTCCGCCTCAGTTGCTGAAGAAATGGTTGTATTGCAACGCAACAGTCTTTGTTTACAGCTTTAACCCTTTAACTCCCAGATCAAATTTGTAATTCTTCTACTGTCAACCATACAATTCTTATAATGTTAGTGCAGCGAATTTAGTATTGAATCAATCGATTATCTCCGAATTGATGTTTTTCTTTATTCTCATTACCTATCTGGTTGATATTGTATTGATATTGTAAGGAGAAATTCTGTCTCGGTCACTCATGGGAGTTAAAGGGTTGTCTCCCGCGTGCATCTGATAGCAAAACTCTTTAAGGGCCTGTTTACATGGAGGTGGGGGACCCCAGGTAGGTGAGGTAGCTCGCCTAGACCTGGTCGAAAAATAAAACGCGTTTACACACAATCTTACAACCCCGGGGTGCTGGGGTGAGGTTGAGGTTGTTGTTGCATTTGCAGTTAAGGAGTTTGAGCAAAGGCGTCCCAGGCTCACATCTCGAGAAAGACGAAAAATTAATTCTCGGACACATATTTATTTATTCATGAAAGCGTCACGCGTTGTGTTACGCGTTGTTAGGTTACGCGAGGAACCGTTGACTTATTACGTTCTACGGAATAGTTTGGGAAACGAAATATGGTCGATTTACAACGCTAAATAATCTGAAATGTGAGCATTTTACACTCTTTGTGTGTCCGTTGCGGTTTCTGGTGATTTCTGCCATGAGACAGCTAGAAAATGTACAAAGTTTAAAACATACATGTTTCGCTTTTGAGCTTTTTGCCATGAACGGTCAGGCGGGTCACCCCACCTTGAGACGTTTACATGGCAAATTGTCACCCCGGCTGACAGGGTTACCCTACCCGGCAGACCGGGCAACCCTCCTAGGCGGGTCACCCCACCTACCATATAAACGTGATCAAGATAAAATAAGAAATTTTATGGACAGGCGGGTTACCTCACCTTCCTGGGGTCCCCCACCTCCATGTAAACAGGCCCTAAGTTCTCTGCCTTGGAGCTAAATACCTCAGGAGGCATTTTAGGCGACCGTAATTTTTGTGTCTGATTGGAAATAAACATGTGCGGCAGTGAATTTCGCAAGTTTTCTTTTTTGTCAGAAAAGCACAGAATTATTTTCGTCCGATCGATTTAGTCACCGATGATAATCGAAAAAGACAATTGAATAAGATAATAAGATAATTGAATTTATTCATAGTTCTTGTTTGACATCAGATCATAAACAATAGGTTTGTGCCTGATCCCAATAACGTTTTTTTCACTTGCAAGGTTATACCTAATACAACGATGCTTGACATGTAACAAAGCCGTACTAACGTCATGCGCGATTACTTCTCCAAGGTAGTTTCGTGCGCAAGCGAATTCGGGACGACTAATTACCAGTGTCTACATCTTGGTGAGTGAGTGATCATTTGCATATCTGAGTCCCATAAAAAGGAAAGAAAGGAGAGAGAAAAGACATTGACCACAGCAACAGGTTACCAAGTGTTGAAACTTTCACTAGCCCTCCCCTCTCCAGCTGTCTATTTCTAAGAGAGAAGTAGGAGAGGGAAAGCAAGAAGAGAGAGGGAAGAGTGAATTAAAACCCGGCTCTGTACCAGAGGTTCACCAGCCTTTAACAATATAAAACGAAAGGAAAAAACAATTGATGGAAGAGATATAAAGTGCCTATGTCTTTTTTTTACTTGTTCTTGTTGATAGCTGTATTCATTGACCTTAGCGCCCTGCGAGTTCTTCATGAGAATGTTTTTGTGCATTGAGAGTACGATTTGGCGGCAAAAAGGTGTCCCCATTTAACGCGCGGCCAAAACGATCATATTACGTAGCTGTGACATAGAAATGTGAAGAAACTCTGATGAAGAGAGGAGAAATTAAGAAGAGAGAACGAACGTATTGCGTGGAAGGAGCGCTAAATGATTTTAGCTACGAGAATGATACACATACACCTGGTATTTCTATAAAATACTTTCCAAAGGATGTTGCTGTATGACCAAAATGGACGCGTTTCGATCGTTGTCATGGAGAAGATTTTACTCTTCAAAGTCGTCGGCCTCATGCTTCATCTCGTCTTCGAAGACGGCTGTTACGAACACATACTACTGGTCAAATCTAGGGAACTTAGATTGCCGATGAATTCAGCTATAAAGAATGCTGATTGAGAGGCCTATTCCCAAATCGGACACGATTATTCCACAATCTTTTCGGCTGACATTTCGCAAGCGACGAATGGTGAGCTTCTTAATGTTGTTTATTTCACGAGCTTGAGATGTACTCATACTCTCTGTCTTTCCACATGACTGCATTTGCGCTTTTCTGATCGTTTAAAAATCCCACTAGTTGTAGTTTCAATCGCATTTTAACAACACAAATACATTTGTTATAAAGGTGAAGTCCTTTCCTAAGGTGACCGATATCCTGTTGCCTGAACAGTGCAAAACCTCTTGCAGATACTGGCATAAACTAAAGAGTGGTCAGCGGCGAAATGGCGGTCAGTCGTAATTTTCTCGGCTCCGCCATAGTCACTTATCTATATCTGTTCTGTTGTTTAAGTCGCTCTTTAATTTATCTAAATACGCTCATTTTCTGTCCATCTTATGCCCTTGATGATTCTGGAGTTACAAAGACCACTAATGAAGTGGATTTATACCGTGCAAGTTGCTCGTCGTCGATGCGTTTGTTCCGCCATCTTGGATTTTCATCTTCAACAAGATCGCATCGCTACTTCACTGCTCGGATATCTCATACTCCGAACTCCGTTTCCTCCTTTAACCTAACGCGTCTTCGCTTAACAACGAGTGGCGACATCAGCCCGAACCCTGGTCCACTAATTACGTCTTTTACAACAAATCGTCGAGCAGTTAAACATCGAAGCCATCATCATAGCCACCGCTCCAACGTTGTGCAGGTAAACCGCGTATCTGATCTCCATTTGAGTACATCGAACACTCAGCTGACCATGTGCACGTTAAATGCTCGCTCTATTTCAAACAAATCTGCACTGTTTGTTGATTATGTCAGCGAATGCAAAGCCGACCTAGTTGCAATAACGGAAACTTGGTTATCAGACAACGACTCCGCTGTGTGCTACGAGATAACTCCTGCTGGCTATAAACTGTTACACTGCCCTAGGGGTGATCGTAGAGGTGGAGGTACGGCCCTCTTGTTCAGAGATAACATCAATGTTTCCAAGCTCGAAACTGTTTCAAGGATTTCCTTTGAATCTTCTGAATACCTTGTCTGCACTGGCTCCCTACGCTTTCGATTGGCAATCATCTATCGACCGCCGTACTCTGTTAATCATCCTGTGACTGTGAACAGTTTTATTGACGAATTTTCTGAGTACCTTGAATCTGTTATCCTATCTAACGATGTCCTGTGTTTAACTGGCGATTTTAACATCCATGTTGATGATCACAATGATTCAGCTGCTTGTCGCTTTTTGGATTTATTGGAGTCAATGTCTTTAACTCAACATGTGACAGAACCAACGCATGAACTTGGTCATACACTAGATCTGGTAATTACTCGAAAGTCAGACAACCTTATTAGCGGTCGACCAGCGCCTGACATTCTATTTTCGGATCATCTAGCGTTACTTTTCAAATTGAAAACACCTCGACCACCTCTCAAAGTTGGGCGTGTCTCATTTAGGAAGTTGCGATCAATTGATAAGTCTGCTTTTGCGGATGAAATCTGTAACAGCGAGCTTCTTCAAACGGATACTGAAGATCCTGACGAGCTGGCCGCCTTATTCAACAATACATTGCGTTCCCTGCTGGATCGGCACGCTCCTGTTAAGCAAAAGAATGTTACTATTAGATCTCGTGTTCCATGGATGAATGATGAAATTATATTGGCTAAACGTCAACGGAGGAAAGCTGAAAGGAAATGGAGGGCTTCTAAAGCACACATCGATTTACTATCCTATCGCGCAATGAGAAATCGAGTGACGTTTTTGAGTAATGAGGCTCGTTGTGCATACTATACAAACTTCATAACTGAGAACAGCACGGACCAGAGAAGGTTATTTAGAGCAAGTAAGTCCCTGCTGAATTTATCAAATGGTCCTGGCCTCCCACTGTCGACTAATGATTATCAGTTGGCTAATGATTTTGGAAAATTCTTTGCTCAAAAAATTGCTGATATCAAGTCTGTTATTGCAAACCAGAGCCGCCTTCCTGTCACCATCGACGCTGCCAGTACTGTGACTGCTTCCTGTTTTTCAGAATTTACTCTCCTGTCCGAATCAGAGGTTTTTGATTTAATCAAAGCTTCATCAAAGAAATCTTGTCTTCTTGATCCTATTCCAACCAAACTTCTTACTGACTTCGCCGATGTGCTACTACCTCCGATCACGAAAATAATAAATCTTTCGCTTGATTCTGGTTATTTTCCATGCACCTGGAAAAGTGCTCTAGTACGGCCGCTGTTGAAGAAGGATGGATTACCTCTTGTTTTTAAGAACTACAGACCCGTGAGTAATTTGGCATTTATCTCAAAGCTGGTTGAGACTGTTGTTGCCAAGCAGCTACAGCATTATCTGAATGGCAACAATCTGTTCCCAGTGTTTCAATCCGCCTATCGACAGAACCACAGCACAGAAACTGCACTCCTTAAGGTTATGAATGATATTCTCCTTAACATGAACAATCAACGTGTTACTCTGCTTATTCTGCTCGATTTAAGTGCTGCCTTCGACACAGTTGATCACGACACCATGCTACGTCGACTTGAGTCATCATTTGGTATACATGGGAAAGCCCTCTCCTGGTTTACGTCCTATTTGTCTGGTAGAACTCAACGGATAATGATTAACGATTCGCTGTCGGAACCTTTTAAATTAGAATGCGGTGTGCCTCAAGGTTCCTGTCTGGGTCCGTTATTGTTTTCGTTGTATACGAGCAAGCTTTTTGAGATCATTGAATATCATTTGCCCACGATTCATTGTTACGCTGACGACTCTCAAGTTTACATCTCATTCAGTCCCAACGACAGAGCTGAGCAACTTGCTGTAGTGAGGAGTATGGAGGACTGCATCAGAGACATTCGTCTTTGGATGTTGAATAATGATCTTAAATTAAATGACGACAAGACTGAATTCCTTATCATTGGCACATCACAACAGCTGGGAAAGCTCGACAATATCAGTATACGTGTGGGCGACTCAGACATACATCCCGTGCCAATTGCGAGAAATCTTGGTTCCTGGTTTGATTCAAGGCTCTCCATGGCAACACACATCACGAAAATTTGTGCCTCTTCATTTTACTACATTTATAATATTCGTCGGATCAGAAAGTACCTTTCACAGCAGTCAACGGAAACTCTTGTCCATGCATTTATAACGAGCCGCCTGGACTATTGCAATGGCCTATTATATGGACTACCGGACTGCTTGTTGAATAAGCTGCAACGAGTACAGAATGCTTGTGCCAGATTGATTCTTAAAGAACAGAGATTTTGTCATATTACGCCCTTAATTTTTAAGTTACACTGGTTACCAATTAGATATAGAATTGAGTTTAAAATATTGTTAATTACTTTTAAGATTCTTAATTTTTTAGCCCCTTCTTATCTATCCTCTCTTATTTCCCTTAGACCCCCCTCCAAATATAATTTAAGAAATTCCAGTGATAAGCTTTTACTTAGCCATCCATCATTTAAATCGAAAGCTACACTGGGGGACCGTTCTTTTACCTGTGCTGCTCCGAAACTATGGAACGAACTACCGCTGGATATTAGGAGCGCAAGAACAGTAAATATTTTTAAAGCTAAACTGAAGACTCACCTTTTTCGTAGTGCATTTTTATAGCTTTTTTTTTTTTTTTATTTTTTTTATTTTTTTTTTTATCTCGTTTCTTAAAATTATTGTAAGTCTATTTTAATGATAATTTTTAATCTTGTAATGCGCATTTGAACATTTTATGGAATTTGCGCACTATAAATTTTTAATATTATTATATTATTATTATTATTAATAATATTATAAACTCAAGCTCGAAAGGGCTTTGTATTCTCCCAACCTAGGTTTCCAAAAATCCACCACACAGGCCATCAATTCCCCTCTGCCCTCAAGAAACTAAAAGTAGCAAAAATAGCAATGTCATTGTGATAACAGCACTGCAACGCGATGAATTGTGAAAATAAAAATATTATTGACTCTGATAGTAGCGAATCCAACTGCTGTGTGAAAGTAGATGCATACGAAGTATTCATTTACAATACTAATGTCGGTTAGTTGCCAGTGAGCGAAATGGGTCATGTAGCAATGCTACACTCAAACTAAAATAGTCTTTCTCTATATATTGAAATCCTTATTTGAGATAAACTTGAATCAGATGGCTATAAACTCACTCGTTTTCCATTTGACCGGCTCTAAGACGATAGCCCCTGCCTTTGCAATGTCTAAGAAAAAGGAGCAACTCGCAGTAAAACTGCCCGATGACTTCTCGGTGAAAATCTTTTTCGCTCTAATCTTGACCTTAACACCACAGGCGAGAAAACGTCTTTGTCCCTTTGTAAGTCTTTGTCAAAATCTTTGTTTGATGCACGCGGTTCTTCTTCGAAGGGCTGAACCGTCCTTGCAACTTCTATTTCTTCTTTACTACTTGAGTACGATGTCATGTCAAGACATCCTCGAGAACATGGCTGCCACGCACGCACATCGATGACGAACTCGGTCTTACGTTACAAGCGTGTCGCAAAATTCATAACAAGGGAAACAGTGTAATTTCAACTAACATGCTTTTAATAATTGCTCCTATGTTACAACCGCTGGAGGTGACAGTTTCTTCCAGATCACAAAATGAAGTCGACTTTTAGTACAATCTTTCGCTGCATATTCTATGTGCTTTTACGTGTGTTTAAGTGGTTCCCGAAGTGATTTCTGTGTACGCGTAAATCCTCGCACTCTGCCTTACATTTTTTTATTAACAGTCCAAAGGGAGCATAAAATGTCCAAAATTACCCCACTTCGCAGGTTTACAGGAATATTCTTCCAGATCGAACTGTTTTGTTCACTTGCTAAACTTTATCTATGATGCAAAAGTAGGAATCATTTAAGACACTAAATTGGTTCCAAACTTGGACGAAAAACAACCCAAATACTACCTAAGAATTCTCATTGCTACGCCATTTTTAAAGCCCCAGAAAAGTACAGAAAAACGCCATGTCTTGAGCCCACCGTACTCCGTTATTCTATCAGTGTTTTTCCCTCCCTAAACAAGATCTGAAGAGGAAGCGTTGTGCATCTGCACATACAAACCACGGGTTCTTTTACTCGAAGCTCGAACACCGTCCGCCATTTTACGAAGAGAACCCTAGGAAAGTATGATAAGCAAACTAAATACGCAAAAACCAAACACCAAGCGTAAGTTACGCACGTCTGAAGAGCTATCCATGTATAATAAAAAAAAGATCGTGAATTAATCAAAAAGGGCAGGAGGAGGAGTCCTACCCTAAAACTATCAATTTTTCCGCACGCTCCTTTCGTCCCCACCTCTCTCTTTCCCGTCATGCACCCAGGAGGGGAGGTCAATTTTAGAAAGAGGGGTTCAAAATTCTTCCTACCTCTCTCCCACCGTCATCAAACCCTTCATCTGGTGCACATTCTCCCTCTGACATCCCCCTCCTCCTTACTCGCCTCCACACACACACACACACACGCATGCACCAAACCCCTGATACACCCTTGAGTGGAAGTCAAGTTTACATATAGGGGTATATATGTTATCATCCCGCGCATGACTCGAGGGGGTTGAATTTAGAGCGGAGGCAAGTTTGTAAAGAAACTGTGGTATCGCACTGGTGGGAGATATAACAAGATAATTTGGTTTTCTGAACTGAATTGAAAATGTAAATTGGCCACTGTAAAGAGTTTCTAAAGATGACATTTTGAGCGTTAGCACTCGAGGGCTAACATTCCAAATGTCAGCTTTAGAAACTCCTTACAGTGGCCAAGTTATATTGTATAAATTCAGTTGATAAAACCAAGTAAAATTGAATTTGCTTTCGAGTCACTTGCGTGTTCGGGCTTGTGGCGAATTGACCGATCGCTTTGATTGACAGGCTTCGTTTTCTTTTCCTTTCTCCTTTATTTTTGGTACGTACCTTTACTAAAGCAAATTTTGTCTAGCCCCCCCCCCTCCCCCCCCCTACGGTCCCAAGCTCCTCCGTCCCTATAGAATTGTTACAGTTAAAGATATATTTTTACCGAGACACCAACATGAGATGAAAACGCAAACGATCGACAGACATTGTGCAGTCAGAGCGCGGGAGGGTTGAGTGAAAAAGTTGTGTTCCCTTGTCATAACAATCAGAATACTTGATGTCATTTTGTCTGACTTTTATTTACTTGAAATTGCAAATCACTGTCCTATCAATAAAAAGGTACTCTCTTCAAAAACCTCTCTCTCAGTCAAGAATCAAACATTAAACAAAGTTCTTTTACAAAAGATTCATCGATCCACAAAAAATATTCATACGTCCTTTTTTTTATGCAACCACATATTACACTCCGAATTCGCTGTACAAAAATAAACGTCCTTTGGAACTTTACATCTATAACTATGACTCTCTTTTCCATTACCTTAAAACTTGTTTCATTTTTTGTCTTAATTAGTCCCTATTTTCATTTGAATTTCAATTCTTACCACTTTCAATAGAACATTCTTATTGACCAGACATTATTTATGGCCTGAGCGTGGAGGAGGGAGGGGAGATTTTTGTTCTGTCCCCATAAAATTCACTTGATCTCCCCCCCTAAGGCTCTGTAAGATTCTTATCATACCCCCCCTTTCTCTCATAAGCAGTTAACTGGTAGCGCATTTTCTATAGTCCCCTCCCCCCTTTATATTCTGTCGGCGACGACTGATTCCCCCTCTGTTCCCTCTGAAAACCATGTGATCATTTGCCCCCTCCCTCCCCCCCCCCAGGCGATAACTAACGACTGGTTCTGGTTGCTTGATCTCTACGTTGTCTTCACTATCATTTATATCTCAAACTCTTTTGACCTACACTGTTCAATTTTGTGATAGGCGATCGCGAATTGCATAGCATGGCATAAATTATTTTATCATATAACTTTGTTCGTACGTGCGTTATGATTGGTCAATTTAGGCAGGCCGTTTTTCACTACACGGCCCGCTGAATTAAAATGTCTGCATGAATTGAAATCTTTCCTCTATGTTTGAACCCAGAGATATGATAAATATCGTACTAAAACCTCGTTTTCCAGGTCCTTCCTGTAAGTTACAGAAACTCGTTTTTCCTTTGGATTTATGGCACGCGCACTTTGATCTTCCTTGCATTGGGCCATAAATCTGAACAGAAAAAACTTGGTCCGTAACTCAAGTACAAACCTCGAACTCGGTTAGTGAGACGCACATGCATGTTTTACTTAGATCCGTGTTTTTTAGAGCCTTTCGCATAGACACGAACTTTAGTGTTTTAAAGTGACTGACATGATATTTCAAAGGCGAATCGCATGCATACAGCGTATGTATATCTACATTACCAACTACAGCATAAACTATAATTCATTTTATATACAACTGCATTTTTCTTGAACAAACATACGGTTCTCCTTATAAAGGCATTTGTCAATTCCCACCGGCACTGTCACACT